AAAAGAAGCTGATTAATTATATTTAATATATGATTTGAAATTGTCTGGAAAAGTTTGATACTTTGTTCAAAAAAAAAAAAAAGAAAAAAAGGTGAAGATATTTCATAATTCTAGCAGCCTAGAGAGCAAGCGCAAAAATAAAGAAAGCAAGAAAGAAAGAAAGTAAGAAAGTAAGAAAGAGAGAGAGAGAGAAAAGACATTGAAGAGCATGTGCGTGAAGCTATCAGTCCGACAGTCGCGATTTGACACTTGACCCTTGACGTTGACCCATACGATTTGCGGTACAAGTTGTGACCTGAAACGAACTAGGAAAGCATTTATTATTATATTACCACTTCTTCTGAATCTTCATCTCTTATTAGTTTCTTATAGTCCGTCATTCAAACTCGTCATACTTTAGTAGTAGTAGTAGTAGTAGTTGTGTCGTTGTCGTGTGTCATTAAAATTTGAATTGTCGTCGGTAGTTCAACTCGATTTTTACCTTGATGTTTACTTTCTTTTTCTATTATCGTAGAAAAAAAAAAGAAAATTTCATTAATTTAATTTAATTTAAATTCGTTTAAAAAATCGTATTCTAATCGTTCTACGTAATATTACGAATGATAAATCAAAACGGGACACGGGATATAAAAAATCGAAACAAAAGTTATTGAAATAATAAAAAAAAATAAAATAAAATAAAATAAAAAACACGAGTGATTATACAAAATAAAAAAAATAAAAAAATAAAATGTATCTCAAGGCCGAAAGGATAATACTTTACATGAGGAAATTTCTTAAAATGAATGTTACCATTTGAAACTAAAAAAAAAACAAACAAAAAACCAAAAGAAAAATGATTGTTATTTTTTCATTGAATTAACTGTTATTTTTTATATCGTTAATACCGTTGTTATTGTTTTTTTTTTTTTTTTTTCAAAGAAGATTAATTTATCACTTATGTATATATATACATACATATGTATGTGTATGTAGGATCGATTATGTTATGATATCAAAAGAAGGATACATCTTGTTTAAGAAATTGATAAACCGGTAAGTAAATTTGCATGTTTTTCAATTCTTCTTTACCTTTTTCCTTTAATTATTGTCACTCTCATCAAAATAATAATAATAATAATAATAATCATAAAAATAATAGTAGTCATTATTATACACCTACACACATATGTTATAAATTATTTGAATTAATATACGATAAAAAGAGAGAGAGAGAGAGAGAGAGAGAGAGATAAAGGATCTTATTTGTTTCATTTATTATTTTGTTTCTAGCTTGACTCGATCGATAAAAAAGATCTGATGAAGTTTAACGAAAAAAAAAAAAATAAAAAAAAATGATATACGAAGTCCACAACACACACATACACACAGACACATGTATATACATGCATAACTTCATTTTTTGTTTTGTTTTTCTATTATTGTCAGCTTCGACAGTCTTATCCTTAACGAGACGAGTACACTAACAAGGCCGATGGAAAAGTAAGATAACCTTTTTCCTTCAATAATATTCATTCAATTAGTTTTATATATATATATATATATATGTGTGTCCATTTTATGTCAATATATCAATCAGATTTATGGATCCTACAAAAGTTTCTATCATTTCTTTTAACATTTTATTATTTGTCGAGTAATAATTGAAATTATGTTGAAAAAAAACACATTATACATAAATAAATATTCGTAAACAATTATTAACACTTTTAATAATGTAATGATAATAATAATAATTTTCATTTCTTGTTTTTATTAAGTTTTACTATAAGTTAACACAATAAAATGTTAACACTTTAATGGCCGCATATTTACTTAGTCAAACGCCGCCATTAGTTGGTAATATTTTTGAAAAATTAATTAAAAAAAAAAACTGAAATTAAATTGACGAAAAAATTAACATAAACAAAAAGCAATTTAACAACCAATTTAATTGTATATAATTATATATAAAAAGTTATAAATAAATAACGGCAAATAATAGTTGTTTACACACACACACACACACACACATGTTGTGTGAACGACCATTAAAGTGTTAAAGTTGTTTACTTTAAATTCAAATGGGATTTCTGTTGTTTTTTTTTTTATTTACAAATCAATCATCGTAGATATAAAAATGAATTAAACAATTTTCTGTTATCAAATTGTTTATTGAAACTAGATATATCACCATTTTGAATATACCTATTTCTACTACACTAGTCAAAATGACTGGTCTGGTATATCTAATGTTTATTATTCATATATTAATTTATATCATTAAAAAAATATTTCTAAATGTTATAATATATTAATCGATGATCATATCAATAAAAATAAAAGAAAAACAAGTGTAGAGATAGAAGCAAAATATTTTCTTCATTTTTTTTTTCTACTTTAATCTCACTGTGAAATTGCAAGACAGGTGATGTTTTTTTGTTTTGTTTCCGAACAAAAAAGAAAAAAAGAAATCGATTAAGAAGCGATTGTCCTCTCATGCGTCCAATCAAGACAATAATAACATTCGATTAAAGTTCCTAGCATAACAGGGAACTTTATCAAAAGTTCTATCTGTGTTTACGTACGCGCGCGCACGCATCTATATGTGTTTGTGTGATTCCGTTATTAATAAATACTGGCACTAATAATTTCACACTTATATACTCGCTTTATTTATAGATTATCAAAGAAAAAAATTAAATATATACACATATATATATATATATATGTAAACGTAGATAAGAAATCGGCACGCATGTTTTAGCATGATCAAGACACATGCATGAAAAAAATTAATTGAAAGATATCGTGCGATATTGAGAAGAATCTGGCACTTTGAACCAACTCTTTTCGTATATGATACCACACATCCGTTTACTATTTGCAACGAATAACACATTGAATTATTATTTATTAATACTAGATATACCAGACAAATCATTTTGAATGTGGTGGCCATTTTAGTTCAAAATTTATACTTCATGCAATATATTAATTCTGTAAATAATTAAGTGTTTTGTTATTTAAAAATGTCTACAAATTCATTTATTTATTCATATTATTATTGTTAAACATTTTTTGTCATTTTTTAAGAGTAAACAAAGATTGGAGGCTTCAAAAGGCATTTTTTTTTTACATCAGTCATTTTGACTAGTAGGATAGAAAAAGGTATACTGAAAATGATGGTACATGTCGTGTTAACATAATCTCTATTATAATTACTCTCTCTCTCTCTCTTTCTCTTTCTCTATCTTTCTTTTTTCCATTTCTTCATTTTAGATTAAAACTTAAACTAATGAATTATTATGTTTAAAAATTAATAATACCACACAATGATATATTTTAAAATATTGTACATTATTATAATATTATTAGGTCTGCAAGTAAATTTCTAGCGTTTTTTAATGAGTGGTATCACGAGTAGATTCCGGTTAGAAATGTCACATCTCATGTGTAATTTTCGAAGCTTGTGTATCTATTAATAATATTGCATCATCATATTTGCGCATTTCTATCAGTGTCGTATATTTTATGAAGCACAAACATAGCAAGTAATGTGCCAAATAAGCATCATTTGGGGGAAGCGCTGCTTCTATTCTTTAATATAAAGGAAAGTGCAGCTGAGGCCTATCGTTTGTTTCTGGAAACTAACGGGGCGGAATGTATTGGTGAATCGACGTGTCGTGGGCGTTTCAAACGGTTCAAAAATAGTAATTTTGATGTTGAAGACAAGGAATGGACCAGAAAGGAAAAAAATTTTGAAGACAAGGAGTTGGAGGCTTCGTTGGATGAGGATCTGCGTCAAATTCAAGAAGAGCATGCTGCATCATTAGGCGTCATACGACATAATATTACACTGTGCCTGAAAGCTTTGGGATTCATCCGAAAAGTTGGAAATTGGGTGCTATGTAAGTTCAAGCTGAAAGATGTCGAACGGCGATTTCGCATATCAGAAATATTACTGCAGCTGCATAAAAAAAAGTCGCTGTTCCATCATATTGTCACTGGTGACGAAAAGTGGATCTATTATGATAATCCTTAAAGCTAAACAACATGTGCAAAGTCTGACGAGCCAGCCAAATCAATGCCAAAGCAAATTATTTGTATGTATAAGGTAATCCTCTGCATATAGTGCGATCAGAAGGGTGTCATATACTACGAACTGCTTCCAAATGGTCAAATCATCAAAGGTTTATTGTATAGAGATCTATTGTATACCAGGCACGAGTCCAAATACGAATAATTTTTCACCACGACAACGAACGGTAACATGTTCCTGATTCGGTCAAAAACAACTTGAAAAATAGTGGATGGGAAATTCTGCCTAAACCATCTTATAGTCAAGATTTGGCATTATTCGATTGCCACTTGTTTCGGTCAATGCAGCACGCTCTATCCGAAATGCGCTTCGTTTCAATAGAGGGAATAAAAAATTTGCTCAATACGTTCTTGGGCTCAAAAAAAGAGAACTTTTTTTTCGGTTGCAATTCACAAATTGCCAGAAAGATGGGAAAAAATTGTATTTCGCGATGGACAATATTTTGAATGAAAAATATGTAACCATTTTTTCTAAATAAAGCCTTTAATTTTTATGAAAAAACGCTAGAAACTTACTTGTAGACTCAATAGTTATTATAAAATATTAGGGTGTACCTCAATATAACCTTAAATATTTCCAAAATAAAGTTTAGAAAAATTAAAAAATCCATGGCACAATTTATGAAACAAATTTTTGATGCAATAAATGTTCGAACTTGTGATTCATCCGAACAATAAAACTAAGATYTCTATTTGTAAAAAGAAAGTAATTGAATAGTAGAATACATATAATCTTTTCGTTACATTACATGTTGTCTACTAATTAGTGAATTTATTAAAACTTTAWATAACAAAATGATTAAGTGTAATATTACGTTAGATTGTTAAGAAAGTAATTTGGTTTTTTCCAGACACAATTTTGTGTTTTTGTTGATTAAAATCGGCCAATAAAAAAAAAAATATATATATATATAAGTAAATAAAATATATTAAAAATTGTGTCTCATTAAAAGAAAACTGATTTAATTTTTTCACCTCTAGATATGATATTTTTTAAAAATTGGATATACAAGTTGTTTATCAGGATGGCAAGGACTCGTTAATAATATATATAATGGGAATTATACTATTATTTATATTTTAGTCACAATATGAAAAATCGGTTATTTTATTTTATTCTAGATATATATAGRRCTTTCTKATAGACCTAATAAATAAACCTAACCTAAAATATGATATAGACATGATATAGAGGGTGCATAAAGTATTCATACATTGATTAATCYATTTATTTTATTATTCTACATTACATTAAAAATAATTCAATAATCGTTGTTAAATTTGTAAAAAGTACAGATATATAAAATGAATGACACCAGTTCTGAAAGATTGAATCCTAGAATGAGTTCGACTGAAGAATTCAAATTAACAATAGACATGAAGTTCAACGAGGGTCATATGATCAGCATCATTACCTACAGCGTTTTGATGGGAATTTTAGCAATTGGAAATATCAGCGTATAACTTCTTATCATGCGTTGTCGTAGAACATCAAAATCAAGGATGTACACCATGCTAATGCATTTGGCCATTGCCGATCTTCTCGTAAGCGCATCTCATTTTTATTTCTTTCCTTTCTTCTTTTTTTCATCTCTCTCTCTCTCTCTCTCTCTCTCTCTCTCTCTCTCTTTCTCTCACTCTCATTCTTCTTCTTTTATTTTCCCACTTTTTCTCTGATATCCTTCCAACTTGATAAAATTTCTAAAGGTATGTTTCTTCATTTTTTTCATTTTCTTCGATTTTCATTCGCTCTTAACCGTAAAAGAAATGCATCGATTTTCTTCCCCAATATCTTATCATTCTTTTTCTTRTCATTTTTAATCTGTAACTTAAAAGCTTTTGTTTTTTTWATGAATTTTTTATTAGTTTTTKCTGTTTCTTCGTSAAACTTARAAAAGAAAGCTGCCTCTTTCTTCTTTCTTTCAATCTTATTATTTTCCTTTTCTTTTCTAATTTCTAAAAGAAATAGATCTGTTTTCTTCTGTATTTCTTTTGCGTTATTTTTCCTCTCCTTATTAACCTCGGAAATAGTTGCGTTTATTTTTTTTAMACTTTTTTCCATATTTGTTTTTTTATCTTCTTTAACCTCATGAAGAACTTTTTCAATTTTTTGAAGTAATTTCTCCTTATTCTTGATCTTCTCTTGTTCAATTTCTAAAAGAAAAGCTTTTTTCTTTTCGATTAATTCTTTCTTACTATTTTTCCATTCTCCTATAAACTCAGAAAGAAAAGCTATCATTTTTTCTGCTGATTTATTATGAGCTTCTTCCMTATCTTTGTAAAGTAAACAATGAAATGCTATAGTTCTCATATAAATTATAAACTCATTCCTTTTCATTTCTTCATGAATATCATAAAGAAAAGCTAGTTTCTTTTTAATAAATTTCTTCTTATACATTTTTGTATCTTCTACAATCTTAGAAAGATGGACTTCCATTTTGTAAATCTATTTCTTCTTATACTTTTTTTTTACTGTCTAAACCTTCTAGAAGAACTGCGTCTATTCGCTTCCACGTGTTCTTCGAAACTGAGTTTCCTGCTTCTTTCCCAATTTCTATAATTCTTCTTTTCTCGTCTTTTATTCTCGAAGTTTCCAATTTCTCCACTAGTTTCTCTCTTTCCTCCTTTCTGTTGAGACCCTATTGGAGGGACGCGCCATGTACATTGCTGGGGGACAGGAACTCGTGTAGTCACGTGATTGCGCACGAACGATTCAAACGATAAGTAATAGGTTAGGTTTGTTCATTTATACTTGTAATTATTAAATTAGTAAATTAAACTTACACTTATAGAAAACTACTAAAAAAAAAAAACAAAAAAATTAAATATAAATATCGCAATAAAAACTATAAGTATTACAAACTTAAACTAACCGCAGCCGTTAATACATACTAAAGATAAACATGGCTGCGCGATGNTATCTTTGTAAAGTAAACAATGAAATGCTATAGTTCTCATATAAATTATAAACTCATTCCTTTTCATTTCTTCATGAATATCATAAAGAAAAGCTAGTTTCTTTTTAATAAATTTCTTCTTATACATTTTTGTATCTTCTACAATCTTAGAAAGATGGACTTCCATTTTGTAAATCAATTTCTTCTTATATTTTTTTTTACTSTCTAAAACTTCTAGAAGAACTGCGTCTATTCGCTTCCACGTGTTCTTCGAAACTGAGTTTCCTGCTTCTTTCCCAATTTCTATAATTCTTCTTTTCTCGTCTTTTATTCTCGAAGTTTCCAATTTCTCCACTAGTTTCTCTCTTTCCTCCTTTCTGTTGAGACCCTATTGGAGGGACGCGCCATGTACATTGCTGGGGGACAGGAACTCGTGTAGTCACGTGATTGCGCACGAATGATTCAAACGATAAGTAATAGGTTAGGTTTGTACATTTATACTTGTAATTATTAAATTAGTGAATTAAACTTACACTTATAAAAAACTACTAAAAAAAAAACAAAAAAATTAAATATAAATATCGCAATAAAAACTATAAGTATTACAAACTTAAACTAACCGCAGCCGTTAATACATACTAAAGATAAACATGGCTGCGCGATGCAACGGAAGCTGTCCCCCAACATTTTCAGCCTAGCAATGTACATGGCGCGTCMSTCCWATAGGGTCCCTATTTTCTCGTATTTTATTTCGTWATTTCCGGTTGTTTCACTATTTTCTTTCTCTTTTCCTTTCTTCATTAAATTCAAAAAAGAAAAATTCTTTTATTTATTTCTTCATTTATGTTCTTTCTCACTTCACATATTTATATACATACATATATATATATATATATATTTATGTAATAATTAATATATATATATGTATGTATATATATATTTATATAATATATATATAATTAATATATATTTATGTATATATATATATTTATATAATAATTAATNTAAATATAAATATCGCAATAAAAACTATAAGTATTACAAACTTAAACTAACCGCAGCCGTTAATACATACTAAAGATAAACATGGCTGCGCGATGTAACGGAAGCTGACCCCCCACGTTTTCCGATTGTTTCACTAGTTTCTCTCTCTTTTTCTTTCATCATTAAATTCAAAAAAGAAAAATCCTTTTATTTACTTCTTCTTTTATGTTCTTTCTCACTTCAAATATATATATTTATATAATAATTAATTTAATATTCTTTAAAATGTAAAAAGGAAGTTTCTCGTTTGTTTTCTCACTTCTTTCCGCCCTTTCCCCTTTTCTATCTCTTTAGTCTTTTCTCTCTCTTTCTCTTTCTCTCTCTTTCTCTTTCTCTCTCTCTCTTTCTTTCTTTTTCTTTCTATCTCTGGCTAGGTAACATTCCTAATGATGCCTTTGGAAATTGGTTGGTCAATAACTGTGTCATGGAAAGCTGGGGATGCTATGTGCAGGATTATGGCATTTTTCCGAGTATTTGGACTCTATCTTTCTTCATTCATGTTAGTCTGCATTAGTTTGGACAGGTAATTATAATAATATTATAATCATGTTACATTATATGCAATATGAACTTGTTGAATGCCACGCCAATTCTCCTGGATCGTCTGTGCGCCATAGAGTGACAAATACTATAATCTTGGCAGGCAAGTCACCGGTGGCTCCCGTGATATTCAAACTGTCAAATATTACTATTAACTTGTCCAATAAGTTCATACAATGTTTTTTTTTTTTTAACAAATAAAAACAACATAATTTACAACTATTATTATTATTATTCACATCTATGGAGATTACTTAGAAATATATATTTTTGATAAATAATTAATAAAGAAATATGAACGACATTATGTAGATATTATGCAGTTCTCAAACCACTCCAATTATTGCACGTAGACAGACGTGGAAAAGTTTTGTTAACTATAGCATGGTTGGGTTCGATACTTTGTTCAATACCACAGGTAATTTTTAATCAAAAAAAAAATATTCATTAAGATAGAGATACAGGAGAACAATCGCATTATTTACAAGTCTTTCCGAAATAGARAAATTTATGTTAAAARTCTTATCTCAGGTTGCGCATTAAGTCTTATGATGCGCTGCAGTTGCTAAGATTCYTTAGCGTTCAACCATTATTGRTTATTAAATTATTTATTTAAAATTTGACTAACAAGTAAATTAATAATGGGAAACAAATTTTAAATAATRTTATATATTTTATATTGGTTATTARTAAATGAATGAATAGACWTGCAACATKACATTTTATACTCAATGTAAAGTATATGAAACATTTGTAGTTCTAAATGTGTGAAGAAATAGTTCAAAATACTATTTCTATTTCTTGCTAAATGTAAGAATATTGAACACCGTTGACTAAAAATAAATCACATCTATGAATTGTTTTGTTTTACAAATACGCAATAATAGAGGCAATGTTATACGATTTTTTGTGACGTTATTAAGATGATACTGTAACATCTCTGCCCTTTTAACAAAAAAAGATATTGGTAATTTGTTACGTTTTTAAGAGACAACACAATTTATGACAAATTATSAGCGATYGTTCTCCTGTGTCTTTATCTTCGTCAAAATATTGTTTCCGTTCTAATTATTCAATGAATTAACCAATTAACTGTGACGCTCACGTTTGAGAACACATACCATTTTGTGCATTCGCTAGAATCAAGCGACACATGCAAGTATACTCGTCAATCAGAGAATAAGTTGTGCTGTTAAGATATTGGATCAAAAAGATGTGGGTTTATTTTATAAAATTGATTATTTTATTACTATTATTTACTTATTTGGTTAACATAAACATGTATATATGTACGCACGATGATAATAGTTGTCACACAATCACAGTTTACTGGTTAAATAAAATRAATAGAAACGAAATACAATCAAATATCGTCATACTGTTAAGATTATTTGGTAAAATATAAATCACTTTTATAACTGTATTTGTAACAGATGATGATATTTCATTTGGAAACCCATCCAAATATTACATGGTATTCACAATGCATTACGTTCAACGCATTTCCAACAGACGCTCACGAGCTTACCTATTCGTTATTTGGAATGATTATGATGTATTGGTTTCCATTAATAGTAATTATTTATACTTATACAAGTATAATATTCGAAATTTGTAAACGTTCGAAGGAAAGTGACGAAGGTATGAATAAATTCATTTAATTAGTTAGATTAATAATTGTGCCGTTTATTTTGAATGTGGCCGAACTACATTTGTGGTATAAAAACGCATATTATACACCAATTAATTGCCATTATTCTAATAGAAGCTATAAATTTAACACCATAGGATACACTTTAGCAGTATGACTTGTTAGTATCACTAGTTTTATTTGCATTGAAACGCAAACAATTTAATATCTCGATTCGAACATAAATAGAGGTAGGTCATTTTCAAAATAGGCGGCCCTTATGGAAAAAAAAAAAATGATAATATAATTAAAAACAAAAAAACAAAACGAAAAGGATTATATTGCAGACAGGATACGCCGTTCGTCCTTGGAATTTTTAAGCCGTGCTAAAATACGCACATTGAAAATGACCATAATCATAGTTACAGTTTTTTTTATCTGCTGGACTCCGTACTACGTCATGAGTTTATGGTAATTTGTTTTTATTTCAATTAAATATTCAACTATTATTATACTTTTTCTTTTTCTTCTTCTTTCGTTACTTTTTGTTTTAACTGCGATTATTATTAATAATGCCATTTGGTAATGTGTGTGTTATACGAATGACGTTGTGTGTTTGTGTGTGTGTGTGTGTATGATTGTAATAATGTGTCATAATAAATATTTTTTTTTATTCACAGGTATTGGATTGACAAAAC